AAGCTGCTGCTGGAGACTAGTGGTAGTACTTCGTACAGTCCCTGTGCCCATTATGTACCTGAACATTTATTGAACTGTGATACTACCATTCTTTCCCTCATTTTAAAGATAAAGAGACCCAGGCTCAGCTCCTCACAGTACTTACTGGGTTGCACAAAGCTGCCTACGTGAGCAAAATGAGCAGGAGTGGTTCTTTCTTGTGAGGAGAGCTGAGGAGATGGGTATTGGCTTTGTAACTGTGTGGTTTGGCTTGCTTGTAGACTAATGGCCTGCCTCTCCATGACACTATACTAATCCACATTACCTCCCAACCTCAAATGTTAAGGTTCCCTCTTGTCCCCTATAGCTGTTTATACAGACCCATCAACAACCAGAGCAACTGAGAGCCTCATGCCTCATGGGCAAAGATACAGGTCCTTATTTCTAAAGAATTTCGTGTATGTTAGCAGATTGGTAGTGGTAAATATTCTGGAGAGTATTTATCATGAAATTGAATTTTCTGATCAAATATTGGATCTGGTCAATGTTTCTGAAAGCCAACAGGCAGGGTTTCAAGTGAAGTAAGACTTAACAATTTACAGTCACAAATGCAGTATCTGTTGTCCAAATGGGTGGGCTTATGGACAGACCATATATTTAGCAATGTAAGAGCCCAGACTATTGTTAGCCACCTACTTGTTTTCTATACCCTTTTCCACCTGGCTATCTTCAGAGGAATCTGAAGTTTCTGCCGTGGTTGGGGAATTTGGCTTATCCAGGGAATGTCCATCAACAGCCAAGTCCTAGTACTATGGATGAGCACTACCTCATCCCTACCTGCTCCCAAACCCAAATTCTACCCTGATACACATTAGTCTTACATTTATATTCCTAAATCTATAAGAAGAAGAATTCTTAGCTAAAAAAAGTTAAAGTTTTCTCTTAAAAGCATGCATCCTGGCCTCAAAAACAGAAATAAGGTTGCAATGAACCTTTTTCCTCAGAAATGTTGAAATATAAACAAAATGAACCTTCAGTCATTTAAAAAATGGTCATGTCTTCAGAACTTGAAGTAGATATCTGATTCAATATTATGTTATGTTGATGGTCTCATGGAGAAACATTTAAAATAGAAACAAATGCAACACCAAAACCCATGCTTCATTGATTTGAGTGTGTTTCAAATTATAGAATAAAGTCACAAACTCCTGATCCCCAGACAAAATATTAAGTAGATCCAGATGTCACAGATGTGAATCCAAATGTTGACATCACATCTTAAAAGCAATCCTTATTTAATCTTGCAAAGGTATGAGGTTATGTATCAGATAGTGTAATATATCAAGGAGCGAGAAAGAGATACTCGTTTAGTGTAGAAAGAAGGCAGTGAAACAAATGCCCATGAGTTATCTTGAATTATATTAACTTTACCCAATAGCTTAATGTTTATAGCCCATTGAGACTTTCCTAGTATACACTTTCCTGGCATAAAGGATTCTGATGAAAAAAAAAAAAAAAGGATTCTGATGAGATTTTACATTACCAGGTGGCAAATACTACTACTACCAATAACAAACACCACAGATCTTAATACAAATTGACACAATGCTTACTCTGACTCTACACGCATTCCCTAGTAAGCCCGCTAAAACATGTGGATCTCTGTGGCCTGTCCATTTGGATCTTTCTCCAATATTGGTGCCATCTGTCTGTAACATCTGCTATGCCATTGACCGCCAATAGCAATTGGCATGTTTGGCCCAGCTCCTTTCCCCCTTGTATATTTCTGATTACCTTTTTCTCTTCTCACCCAAAGAGGTGCAGGTGTACATGGACAAAAACAATGGAAACCATATTATCCAAGCTGAAAATGAGAACGTTTGTAGTCTGAGAAGTGTCACTATAGTTAAGCATGCAATGGGATATAATCTTCGAACTGTCTGAAGTGTCTAGGATGGAAGGCCATTACCCTCAAGATGTCATTAGCCTGAAGTCCAAGGGTAATCTTTAAAATGCTAATTCTCCCTAGCCCTTTCAGGTCCAGATTTTTCTATCTTCAAGCAGTTGTTCCATTTGAATGACTGAAAACTTAAAAGGCATTTATAGTTTATAAGACATTTAAAGAAGTTGTTTCTTATTTTATTTTATTTTTTATTGTTGTGCTGGGTAGGGGTACATTGTGGATTTACAAGGGTTCTCACAATGTATCAACTATATCATACTTGGGTTTAGCCCCTCTCCTGCGCTCTTTGTTTCAACATTTTATAAATCTTTGAAAGTCCATGTAAATAAGCACACAGATTTAGAATTCTCAGCTGATTTTTACCATCTGTAGTAAGTGAAAACCATGGAGAACTCCTGGAGTTTGGGGACTGGGACTGCAGGAGCCAAAGAATGAAGTGTGGCAGAGTTTGAGAGCGGCTCGTGAACCCCCAGCTGACATGAGACGGAATGTCCTTGCTGGGTCCTTCTTAATTAACAGCCTGCCCTCTGGCTAGGCTGTTTGGAAGCTGTACCTGGAAGCCACACTGACCAAGCTGCAGATGCTGAATGTCCTAGGGAGACATAGGACATGGAGGGCATGTGGACAGTGCGTGAAATTTCTTGGCCAAGAAATTTCCAGGAGTCACAATGTTCAGCCTTGTCTCAATCCACCATTTCCTGTTGCCAATAACACTACATGTCAGACCAGATATGTTACAAAGAAGGTTTATTTTGGCTTATGGTTCTGGTCCAAGGTCAGGGGCTGTATCTTATGATGGTCTTCTTACTAGCAGAATCCACAGGCAGTAAAATGCTTCATGTGGCAAGACACAAGGCATGTGCATGTATATGTGCCTCCTCTGGTCTCTCTCTTTCTTCTGAAAAAGTCACCAGGATTCAATCATAGGTCTTCATCTCAATGATCTTATCTAATGCTAGTCACCTCCTAAAGACCCTGCTTCTAAACACCATGATTGAGGAAATTTCTATTCCTTTAATTCCTCAAAACGGGAATAAAATGTCAACACAGGAACCCTGGGCAAAGGGGGATATCATGCAAACCATTTCTAAACCAAAGCAGGTCCATCACTAAAAGGACAAGGTTGTATAAAGAAAGTTTCTGTTCACACAGACAGAGGTCAACTTGTTGCTAGATGAGACTGACAAAAACAATTTGGAGGGCTATAGGGAGGCCGGATAAAGATGGCTCCAAAGAGACACGGACTGAAATTGTTTTTCAATCAAACAATTAGTGTCCTTTGCAACACCCAACAATGCAATAGCCAACAGCATTTCTAGGAAAAAATATATTCATAGGAAAGTAGGCTGTGAAAATGTTTTTTTGAATGCTTTATTATGCACTTCTTTTTTTTTACAATTCTTACTAATATTAACCCTATAAACCTAGTCATACCATAATAGTCATCTCTTAACTATCATTATTTTAGCAAGAGTTACATGAAATGTAATCGGAATTTGAGGAAAAGAATGACACGAGAGCTGTGTAGTTGCAACTTTTCCCTGAGTGTTTAAAATTGCTGCCTCTCTTTCTCTGTGCCACACTTCATGGAGTCAAGCAGCAGGTGTTTCCTGAACTTGAGATATGAGAAAAATAAAGGTGACTCTTCATTGTCTCTTCTCCAAGCAAGAGAAATAATTACCTCCAGGGCATAACTTCTCTTCCCAGAGCTGGCTGCCCACCTTGTGGGATGAAGGGACACAAAATAACAGAAAGGCAGAGGTTGTTGCTTTACTCCCTCGGGAAAGAAGTCCAAGACTTGTAGGAAGTTACAAAAATCCCCAATCCACACCCAAGAACAGGAACACATCTGCAGCTTTTCTGAAGCAAGTCCTCTGAGACCTGTGTGTTCTGGATATCTGGTGACTGGCAAATCTAAATCTAAAAACACTTCACCTCGTTACACCTGAACTACAAGTTACAGCTAAAGGTAAGAACATTTTTGTATTGTATTTGTTTGCCTGAAAGCAAAAGGGTTCTGAATTTATTGTACATATATACGAATATATATAAAAATATAGATAGATATCTCAGTTTCAAAATCATCAACCAGACTGAAAATGCATCTATCTATGACTTCAAGCAGTTGGAGACACCCCAGCCCCTCCACTTACAGATGTTGCTTCATTGCAAAGACATGTGATGTAGCAGCAGTACCAAACTGCCACCATCAGTTGAAAAAGTCCCAATGCCAAGAGCAAAATGCAAAATGAAATATCTTTGTAGGCTATTATCTGTTCAGAGTGCTTAGTTAAGGGAAAAGGAGAGTAAGTTTCTAACTTCAACTCCTCCTCCTCTTCCTCCTTGTCCTCTTTTCCCTCCTCCTCCTTCTCTGTCTGTCTGCTTTTGCAGCAGTTGGTGGCACATGTCACCATGGTATTTAGGTTCTCTGCAGAATGGAATAGGTGAACATGCTCACAGGACTGATAAGGTCTTCCTGGCCTCAATATCCTTTCTGATATGATGAGGAGGAACTGTCCCAGGATCTATTTGACTCTAATGAAAAGTACAGAAATAATATTATCCATGGAGTCAAGGAGTGACTAAGCCCATTCATGAAAGGATAAACCATCTGAAAATAGGCATCAGACACTCAGGACCCTACAGCATTTTGTGTCCTTCTGACATTATAAATTCAAACATGTGTCTTCTTTTCCTCTACATTTTTTCACTTTCAGAAAACTATAGTTTCATATGCACTTGTAACAAACCACATAGAAAGATCTTTGTATGTCTGCCGTTTCCTCAATAGTAACATCTTGCAGATCTTGGTACAGTATCACAGCCAGGATACTGACACTGAGGGAATCCACTAACATGTGCTGTGTTTAATAACAAATTTAACACTCCAAGAAAGTAGCAACACATGTCTTGGGATGAAGAAACAATCTTATAGGATGATGTGTTGTGTATTTATGAACAACACATAATATCATATATCTTTATTGACTGAGTGAGGAGTGGCTTTCACTGTCCAGACATGGACTCATGACATTCTTGAACTGATCCACGTTCTGTCTTACTGACAGCACCTACTGTGGAAGAGGAACATTTTTGCATTTTGTTTCAGCTTCGGATTTCCTAAAATTAAGATGATTGAGTGCATACAGGGGTATGCACCCCCCACTATAATGCAGAGCACAAAAATGTGGCTTCCAAACTGTAAAACTTGAGAACATAGTAAAATAGCCACCATGTAGTGGGAGAAGTAGAGGATTAGGAATGACAGAATGGATAGCATCGCGCTGGTGTGGGCACTCCTGCTGGGGTTCCTGGTGCCTGCCACTGTGGTTCTCATCTGCTGTGTGTGTCTTCCCAGGGAGAAAATCAAAAGCAAAATAGAAATAAGGAAGATGAACAATGGCAATGTGAGCCCAGTGACAAGAAAGGAAAATGGTATAATATACATTTCTATTTTGTTGATCCGAGTTGCATTTTTAGAGAAAAAACTCACCAAGAGATTTTCAAAAAAAGACCGTGTATATTTGTAGTGGAGGGCAGCATTGACAGATGCATGGAGAAGAGACCCCAGGATCAGCCATGGCACCAACTTGGATATCCTTATCTTCAGCCACAAGAAGAGTGGGTGTGAGATGGTGGCAATCTTGATGCAGTAGAAAACACAAAGCCAGGTGGCAAACCAAAGCCCCAATTCATTTGTAAGCATAAGAACTACAAGGTTGTCAGTAAATACAAAGTATTCTATCAAAGAGAGAGTAAGTAGATGGACAAAGAAGATGTACGTCTGCAGAAAAATCCTAGAAGCTGCCAGGCAAGAAAGAAGCAGATCCAATGGAGCCATTTTTCTATGCTTGATCAAGTCAATGATATTCACCATCACAATGATGCCATTTGCAAAGATGCCAGTAAAAAATTGGATCACTCCCAAAAGAAGATGGATAATGTAGTAAGCCTGTGTCATTTTTAAAAAGAGAAAAATCAGTTACTTCTTTAAATGGTGTATAGAATTTTATAACTTCAGTCATTCATACTTTCTGCTTGTCTTCAACTAGATCGGGAAACTTTGGAGAACACAATTATAAAAAGGAAGGTAGAATGCATTTGCTTATATCACTGCTTTCTCAATTTAGTCTTGAGACAGTCAAATAAGAAAGAAATACTCAGCAACAATTTGCTTCTTAGTGACAGCTTTTGCATTTTCCAGATCTACTTAGTTTTCAAAGTCATCATAAGCAAATAATGGAACCAGACACCTCGAGATGACGGACAAAGAGAAAATCACTGGAAAATCAGCTGAATCTACTCAGTCTTTCATCCCTAACATGACAAACTAGTTGTACTTCAGGTGTGGTTCTATTCAATGATACTGAAACAGTCTTCAGAAAACTGTTTTAGAAATTGTTACTTCTGCTGTGATGATGTCACACAACCAGAAATATGACTCCTAATTAGTAGTTCTCTGGTCTGCAAAGACTGAACAACTCAAAAACACCTACAATGTACTGTTGTTATATAATAAATACACATGAGAAAATAAAAAGTATCACAAAGTATAAAAGCTAATTAATAAGGCTTACATGGATGAGTAGACACTGCAGCAAAACCTGAAGTTTATGTGTGACAAAACATAGACAATTACTCAGCATTTTCATCACAGCTGTTATCTGTGGATAGTTCAGGGGCTGAACCTTTTTCCTCTTATGTTTTCCAAACAGTGAGAATCTTCTTATATGACTGGTAGTTCTAGGAGAAAAGTAAAGAGAAAATAGTACATGATTTAATTTGTGGCTATAACTACTTAACAAACTCTGAAATTAGCATTTTATATATATTGTGCAACATGTTATACTAAACCAGGTTTTTCCATCCTCAACAATATTGATGTTTTGAACTGGAAAATCCTTTGTTGAGGGGTAGTGAGGCACTGGCTGGTGCAATGTAGAATGTCTGCTATATACCTGGCTCTACCCAGGGACACTAGGTGCCATTAGCACACCACTCTCCCCAGCCTATGACAACCAAAAATATTTCCAGATATTGCCAAATGTCCTTGGTGGCATTGTTGAGAGGGGCCCACTGGTTGACAGCCAGGGGTAGAACGTGGTTTCTGTCCTGAAGGCATTCCAACACCAAAGGCAGAGAGCATCACAAGTATAACATGACATGAAAATTTGTTAGTTCTTTAGACAATTCACCACAAGAGTGCAAAGTGGGGAACAATTTATAAACATTGAGGGAATTACAACTTTTCCAACTAAGCACTTGAGCTTAATATGCTTGGCAGACCCAACAATGAGGTGTTATGTCCTTACAGATATGTGTTTCTTCATCTAAAAGGGTCACAAAAGATACTCAGTATCAGCCTTATTTACAGAAAACTAGGAAAGGAAACATGTGAAGAAACTAGTTGTGACAGTAAATCTCTAGGTGACCGTTATCATTCTCTGAATTTGTAATGTCTGAGCCAAGCAGGACTCTCTTTGTTCTCATGAAGGGAACTGACAGGAAAGTCTTCAAGCCTTCAAGGGCGGGAGTCCAGGAGTGAGCACTATCAAACAGGTCTGAGTGCCAGCCTCATGATAGAGTAAACCTGTGCTTCTCCCTCTGGTGGAAAGAAGTACTAAAAACCCTTTTCCTATATGGGGAAGGCTTTTTGATGGGGGGGACTTCTGGATGAAGGGAAATTGCTAAAGGGAGGATTGCTGAAGGAAAAAGAATTCCTGAAGGGGAATTGCTAAAGCTAAAGAGAGAACATGGGACAGTGCAAGTCTGATGGGACAGTGCAAAGTCAAAGGGCAAAGACTTTAAGAGAGATTATGCTAAAGAAAAGCTAAGAGAAAACATGAGACAGAGTGAGTCAAAGGAAAGAGACTTTAAAGAATAGAAAAGAAGACTTTTAGAAGCAAGGTTTTAAAGGATTTTAAAGCAGTAAGGCCTTAAAGAAAAAATAGAGAAAAGAAGCAGAGTAAAGAGATTAATAGAGATAAGAAGCAATGAGGCTGCTCTGTGTCTCCACCCGAGTGCCCAAAATACCCGGCCCCAACTTTCTGTATGTCTGTCTGTCTATCCTGTGTCCTTTCTGCATCTCCCATCACCCTCAGCTAGGCCCAGTTAGGTTCAGTAGTAACAAGAGTGAGAAAAAGCTGACTCCAAGAAAAAGTTCCTATCTTGAGTCTAGAATAACAATACAGTCTTTTAGCACTGATAGAAAAATAGCGAGGATAACACATAATGCACCAAAGATTGAAAGGGCAACTGGATCCAATCCTGTTTATCAGCAAGCTGTTTGTCTTTTGGATTCAAGCATCTTGAGGGGTCATTTGATTTTCAAATAGTCCATGGTAACTTCTGTTAGAGCCAGGCTGGAGAGCAGAGGCAATTCTTCATCATGAGCTCCACCTCAGTGTAGCACTGGTCTTCTGATGTGGGAATCTTGTGGAGTAAAAAATAAAAATTCTTGAGGCTTAAGCTACAGGATTTTCATTAAATAATTTTTGTCACCTGTCAAAAAATTTGTGTGTGTGAGCACACACAAAGACTGCTGAAAGCATGCCACTCCAGGACAAGTGCCACCAGCATGCCTGACACTGGAACTTTCTGAGTTTTCTTTTGGTTTTGTTGTTGGCAGTGCGGAGATGGAACCTAGGGCCTTGAACACGCAGACAAGCACTCTAACCACTGAGTACCTCACTAGCCCCAGTACTTGTTACGCAGAGGGATGACAAAATAAGAAGCGTCTGTGGGTAGGAGGTCTCACTTGTGGGATTGCTAGGTGAATGCCCCCTTGAGCTTCAGTAAGCTGCTTTTCAGAGCTGGGGAAGACCTCCAAGGACATACCCTCTAGTCTTTCTCTTAGGATCCTGTCAATCCTATCCACCACGGACATTGGTCACACTCTTGTGCCAGTGTAAGTAAGGAAGAGCTAAATGTTTTAATGATCAAGAAAACAAATCACACAATGACAAAATTAGCCTAAGGAGAGAATCCTTTGTGGTCTTTTTGGCAGTTTGTTTTAGTGAGAAGGACACGTCAGAGAATTTCTGGCTCTAAGATGAAAATTGTATACGTCTGGGCTCACCTGTCAGTCAGTGTCTCAGAAAGTTGACAGTTTTACACGGACAAATGGCTTGGAACAGATGGAACAAGACCCGATGTGGAGAAATTCACATGATGATTACCCCGTATTACCCTGATTAAATCCATTCACTCGCACTCATCTATAATGAGCACTCATTAAAGGAGACAGCACTAAATATCCTTGAGGTAACTGACAAGCGGAAGGAGTTGCTTATTTACATTCAAATAGCTTAGCTCCTAGAAAGAAAGAGTGATCTTTTTCACATGCAGTTAGATTGACACTGGCAGCATTTTCAGCAGGTAAAAGGCTATGACATTCATCTTTCTGCTTTCTGATCGCACACAGACGTTTACTTTGATATTGGACTCATCATGAACATTAGTGATAGTTTTAAGACTCTTCCCAACTGGGTTCTCTCACTTCATTATCAGGGGAGCAATTCCCACTTTAAGAAAAAAGCACCTGTGTTAACATTATTGCACATTTAATAATGTCCTCCAGGTAAGAAGGAAATAGATCCTCAGCAACCCAATGCAGACGTTCTTCCCCTGCACCACACTGAGCTCTGTAAAGCCTGGGTGGAATTTATTCCACTTAAAATCCACAGCATCCTGGTTAAAAACCACAGGCTCTTTCAGACTAATCATTCTTTAAATTCATTCATTTTCATCTCTCCACTTGCATGTGTGGTTGATCTCTTGGACTAAAATTTTTGTCTTTATTTAGACCACTTTCACATACTTGTCCCTTCTCTTCTTCTATTTATTGAAGTAACATATTTCTGTGATTTTCCTTACTCCATTCAATCTTCTGAAATATATTTTCACTGCGGCAAATAGAACAATAAAGCCATGAAACACATTGAACTTAAGTCTCATACATAGAGAACTCAATGTGCTTTACAAACAAGAATCCCTTGTTAGTTGCAATGAGGAAACGGAAGCTGGAAATACTGTATGTGGGGTACAGGAAGTCTTAGTCCTCAGCTCTAAATGCAGCCCCTGTGGAATTTCAAATCATTTGTTCTTTCTTTCTTCCCTCAACTCTCCCTCCCTTCCTTTCCTCCTTCCTTTACTCTTTCTCTTCCTCCTTCTCTCTCCCTGCCATTCTCCTTCCCTCCCATATTTCAGTTCATGTTTATGGCACACATTGGGACAAGACATTGTTCTAAGCATAGAGTAAAGAATTAGACAGTCTCTCTCATCTTGGAAATTACACTGTAGTAAAAAAGATGAGAACTAAGCAAGTGAAGAAGTAAATAACTCCAGGTAGAGTAGAAAGACACTTTTTTGGAGTGTACTCAGGGAAGGCTGGCTCCTCCAAAAAGGTGCTAAGAGACTTGAATGGGTGATCTGGAGACGAACATTCCAGGAAGAGAGCAGCAGATGAAATCTGCCCCCATTAGAAGAGAGCTTGGAGCCTTCTAGAAAAATCAAATCCAAACTTCCACATTGCCTGAAGTGACATGGCCAAGAAGAAGCCCCCAAAGACAGGCACAGCCAGGTCACCCAGGGCTTGGGCCTCAGAAACGACTGAGTTTCTTCTTCAAATGACAGGAACCCATGGCAAAGTTTTGGTGAGGGGAAATTTGTATAATCAGACCTACATTCTGCAATGTTTACTCTGAGTACTATCTAAAGAAAAGCCATTTATTTTGGAGAAAATACTTAGAACAAACATGAAGCAGAAAGACCAATTTGAAGGCTCTTGCAGTAGACCAGCAAGGGATATTGTTAGATTAAATTAGATTGCTGGTGGTGAAAGGAGGTGGCTGGGTTAGAAATGTATTTTGAAAATAAAACCAATAGGAATTTCATTTGACTTTGATACAGAAACTAGAGAAATCAAGAGGTACTCTTGGGTCATTGGCAGAAATGTTGGTG